CACAGAGGAAATGGTTAGGTTTAGAAATCATGGGAACTTTCTCAGTTCTGTTGTAAGACTTCTATAATTTTGGGGGGTGGGATACTAAAATAGATTGAAGATTTTAATTGGCACATCATGAAAGATGGTAACTGATATGCAGAGAGTTGTTTTGTGCCTTTTGTTTTTCCTCTCGGAAGATGTGTAATGGGCGTATGTGGGGCTGATACTCCTAAATTGCTATTACACCACTAAAAATGTCCTCATCTGTCTTCAGGGCACTGATTTTAATACGGAAAATTGAGTATTGCTTGCTTTCTAACTCATCTTTCAACAAATCGTATACTAATGTTCATGCTAATAATATAAGAGAGTATTAAGTTCAGCGGCATAATTCAAAAGCAAAGAAAACTTTGCCTGTTGTGAGAGGTGTCTCAGATAGCTACCATTTTTTAAATAGGCACTCTTTGATAGATAATTTTTGTTGCAAGTAATGCCACTGCTGTACTACCCTGGCACGGTGCTGCTCACAACCGTGTTCTAGAGGCCTGTTACCAATGTGTGTTTATCAGAGCAGGTATGGTAGGTGATGTCAAAAGTTCACTTAGCCCAGTGTCTTGTCTCTGACAGTAGCCGATAGCTGATGTCTACCGAAGAGGCTAGGATGGAGCAAATCTATAGGGTGGTCCATCTCTGGAACAGTATCTCAGCCTCAAACAATTTTTGGCTGAGAAGAAACTCTGAGCTTTGATAATAGAATAATTGTGTGTGACGTTGTCCTGTATGTCCTGTTGGACCCAGCATGCAAGTACGGGGGTTGTCTCTGACAGTAGCCGATAGCTGATGTCTACCGAAGAGGCTAGGATGGAGCAAATCTATAGGGTGGTCCATCTCTGGAACAGTATCTCAGCCTCAAACAATTTTTGGCTGAGAAGAAACTCTGAGCTTTGATAATAGAATAATTGTGTGTGACGTTGTCCTGTATGTCCTGTTGGACCCAGCATGCAAGTACGGGGGGGTGTGTGTGTGTGTAAAATGATGGTTCCCCCCCCCCCCCCCCCCCCCCCCCGAGGTCTAGAGTAGTCAAAAATACAATACTGTATTTCTGTATCAAATGTCCTTTTCATGTCAGAGATACAATAGTGAGGTAATCTTTTTGTTTTCTTGCATATCTGTCTGCCTTCCTGTTATGTATAAGAATATGTACATTTCTTTTGTAGCCACGTCATGAATACTTTAATGTCCCAGTGTACTAAATGGCTTCATTCATCATGCATGCAGAATTTCAGAGGAGATAGACCTGTGACTTACTCATGGCAGAACATTATCATCAGCTTGGTGAATCCAGTCATCTTGAATCTAATAGAATACCACAACCATTCTCTGCTGTTGTACTTTCCTCTTCCCCCTCTGTTTTACAGTGTTGTCTCTTCACATGTCTCATTTCAACAAAACTTGTGCTTGTTGGCATATGGTTTAACTTTTTATTGTGTGTAAGCTTGAAGTCTTATTCTTAAAAGTTCTGTAGAATTTTCTGAGCTAAACATCTATATACCGCAACACCTATACTGTAACGTTACTTGACCTGTGTTTATCTTTCAAATAAGTTGTGGTGGTATTTAAACATACACTTAAAACCTGTAGATGAAGTTCATATTTACAGAGAAACTAGTGAAGGAGTAGTAGTATGCGAAATGTGTATACACACAAGTATTAAATGATGTTACACACAATTCTACACAGACCTTGCATCTTAAAGATGCACATACCAGTATACTTTTCTGAGACTGGCACAATAGTGTGACTTACCTTAACAAGAGGAGGAAGGCAGAATTGATTAGGGCGAAGAGAACGACTTACGTAAATCTGAAGTTACAACACTTGTATTTAAATGTTCAAAACACTCTAGTGAGTAGTTGAACAGTTGCTGCTACCGAAGGAGAGAACAAGTTCATGCTTTACAAATGGTTAGGGTTGGAAAGACTTTTTTTTTTAAGTCCATTAACAGCATAGTTGAAGTATGTCTCCTTCAGTTGGCATTGCCAGTTTTAAGTGCATCAGAGAACTGCCACGAGGATGAATATGATAAGTACCCTTCAATTAAGAAGTGTGGGCAGAGTGAGAGGACATGTATTACATCTTCTGTTTGCCTAGCAGAAGAGAATAATTTGTAACCTAAAACCAGTGCTGTTTTTGAAAATTGTTTAAATGCAATTAGCGAGGAGGTAGTTACAGAGGTTAACGACAAACAGCTAGTTCCATGTACTATATGTGGTAATGCACTACTTTCAAATGTTAAACTGACGTAAAAATGGGAGATTTAGGGGATTAGACAAAAGATTTGGATTGAACTTGCAGCATTCTGAAATCTTAGAAAACAAGATCATAGGAGTGGTTTTCCATTTCCAAGTTTGCCTTTTTTCTGTAAGACATTAACAATGTGTTTGAACGTCTGGTTAATGCTGCTTTAGCCTGCATTATTTCATGCCTGTTGGCTTAAAATGCTGTGCATTGAGCTGTAATGAGATGCTGTTTTTCTTGTTATCTGTATACAGCTGCTTGCTTCTAAATGACTAAGTAATGAATTAGCTTTCCTGGCATGTTTGAAATAAAGTATTGCATGCATTTTTGTCTCATGTGAATGACTTTTTTTCCTCATCTGTGTTCTGATGTACTTCAAATTTGCATTGTTTGCCTTGGGTGATTCTGAGCTGCAGGTAGTGTATAATACTGCAGAACATTTTCCATAACAATTGGATAAAATGTTTGACACTTCCTAAAACAAATAATGTGAACAAAATGTAATATAATTCATTCTATTTGTTTCTTAAAAGTCATAATCGATGAAATTATTCCTCTAGCAAAACACATTAGCCTTTAGGTGTTCCTTTTGAGCTTATATTGTTGTTATGCACATAAGAAGGCATGTCTGTCTCAAGGTTACTGCTGTAGTATTAAAAAATTAAAATCTTACTGAGTTTGAGTGGTGAGGTATCTGTGGACAAGTAGCCAGTGTCCTTGAAATACGTTGCTTTCAATTCATTGTTAGCCAATGACCTTGATTTACTTGAAGAAATTTAATCTTTAAGTATATGCCTGGTGAAAATTACCTACAACTTTGAATTGGCAGTGGAGATGACAATACTAAACTGCTCTGAAGATAGTAGCAGCAGTGCACTGTATTTCTTCATAGCTATTGAGCAATTTTCTTTTCAGGTAATTTAGTAAATACCCTGTTTCACCACTGAGTAACTGTAAGTGTCCTGTGCTGTCTGATCAATTTAAAACTGTGAAAAGTTGTTTATTACAAATATTTTCAAGACCCTGAAATGCTTGAGAAGTTATATTCTGTTAGAATACTCTGAGTTCTGTTGCTGTAGTTAAGAATGTAGGATTTTCTTGAGTAAAATGCTTTAAGTGGGTGGACAGGGGAGACACATGTCCTCTAAAATGAATGCAACAAAGTAATCTGGGAATGTAATACGACAGGTTATATTAAAAATGCTACATAGCCTTTTCTTCAATCTGTGTCTCCTTTTGGGGGATTTGTGTTAAAACACACACATAAATCTAATCCTGCCATCCTGTCTGGCTTTATCAAGGTCACTGCAGTTTGAAGAATATTTAAGTATTGCATTGGTGAGAAAAAACCCACTACATCTGTAATACACAGAGTATCTTGTTTCGGGTTTTAACTTGCCTTTTTCTTGCAATTTCTTATTTACTGCTGGATTTTGGAAGCCATCTCAAAGTGCTCAGAGGTGGCCTGTTCCAAGCACTGACTTATTTCAAATGAAGTTGCCTTTAAAACATCGTAGCTTGTTCCTTCAGTACTAAATCATCTTACAAATGAACTGAATGAGGATTGTAAACTTGATCATTTTGTGCTACATAGTCAAGGTTGATAAAGACAATGTTCTGCTGTTACTTGCAAGATTTAAGGCGTTTAATTATGTATTTTACTGACAAGCTTTTTTAATAAATATTTAGAAAGCAGTTGAAAAATAATTTGTTTGCTGCCTTAACTATTTTCTGCTTTTTTTTTTTCTGCTTCATGACATGTCTTGTTTTAGGATGCTAAAGTAAGTTTATTCATACTCTGGATACTAGACCAGTTTGTTTCCATAAGGACACAGTATCCCTTTTTATTTACTGTGATATTATACCAGTTTGTTTCCATAAGGACACAGTATGCCTTTTTATTTACTGTGATATTATTAATAATTATGGAAAAGGACAGCCTAATGTTTCTAATTAAACTACTGTTTCTTTTCAGATGCTATAGGAATAATGAATACAAAACTGATGATAACCCTTTCGAATTTTGTATTCAACAAATTGCTCTGAATATAAACAAAGCTTTTTAAGATGAGAATTAACCTGAAACTTTATGCCTGGTGTGGAATAATACAATTCCAATCCTGGCAATTCCTCCGCTTCTGTGGGGGTCGATTTATCGACACCAGGTGTACCAAGGTACCTTGACCTGGTTTGAACTAAGGTTTTTTACACCGGTCCTACACACATGAACTAAGCGTGGGACCAGTGTAAAAAAATCTAGGCTCTTTATTAAAGAGCTGAAGGGATACTGTATCTTAGTTGCATCAGTCATTTCATTCACCCGTTTACTCAGTCTTCCCTAACAGATTTTTGAGACCCATGAAACAATTCACCACAAAAATCACTGACTCCATTGCAAGATGCCTCCCCATCCCTCCCCAGTTCATATCTCTGTTACTGGGTTGTGATTTGTTCCCTGCTGGTACATCCGAATTGCTTTATTTTTATTGCGCTTAAGGGCAATAAAATCTGCCAGCTATTCCTGTGAACCGTGACAATCTAATTAACAGCTCTTTGAGAAGTGCAGCTAATACCATGTTTACAAACTGCAGTACTCTTATATTTTCATGTCTTCTAGCTTTTCTTTTTTAATTAAGCATCTTTCGTATTAACTCATGTCTGGTACTGTTCAGTGGAAGCACAGGGTCCATTTACCACTGTCTCACATTTTCCCTCCGTAGGAAGCAGAGACCCCACGTAGTGTACTTGAAGAAATTGGATTGACATAAGTCTTCACTTCAGCTGATGACATCTCAGTGTTTCATACTGTAAATGTTCACTGCCTTCATTGTAATGTTTAGCTAATGGTGTAAGATGCTGTTTGTCAGTATTACTGTTTTGCTAAGCTGCTTCATTCAGGCCTACAAGAAAAATATTCCTTTGAAAAGGGAACCAGGAACTGAAGTCCAAAAATCATAAATGAAAGGGAATTAGATTTAAATTGACTCAGTGTCTCCCTTCACTGCATTTAGGGGAAGATTGCATTTGACTTCAATAAGTGTACTGTTTTTTATAAGCAAACTTGACTTCAGGAAATAAATGTATCATTATGACATAGCATATCTAAATGAAAAGAAACTACATGGACAACTCCAAATATGAAATGTTACGGTGTAGAAATTGTGTTTATGCAACCAAAGACTTTTGTTCATCGACATTTTAGTCACCACTTGTGATAATTCTGCTTATTTCAGTTGATGCATAAAGATTGGAAATACCTGTTTACTCCTGAATTTGTCATTATACCAAAGAATCCTGTTAGGATCTGCATATCAAACTGGTAAAAACTGTTAAGGCGATACTGCTTTTTGCAAGAAAACTGCAAACTGATCGACTCACTAGAAATGAAGGTGTATTTAAGTGTAGCTACCTTGAGCAAAACTGTGCGAGTTACTATACTAAAAAGGGAATGCATGTAGCAAAAAAAAAAAAAAAAAAAAAATTCCAAATAAGGAAACTCTTTTTAGATCTGATATTAGCTTGCTCTGAACATAAACACAAGAAAGGAGATAGGCTTCCTGGCTGTACAGAGAGGTGCATAATGAAAATTGGATACTTTTGAAGATGGGAAAGAAGGAGCTTTACGGAAGGGACTTCTCATTATTTTCTTTCAAACTCTTCAAATTAATTTGTATTTATTGGTGGTTTATAGTTATGCTTTAATGGGTGTATAGGTACCTTTAAAAAAAAAAAAACCACCGCACTAAGTGTCAATGTCATTTTAACTGCTTTTCTTGACTTGCACCTTTTAAGGTGTGGCACATCCTTTACGAAACACCTGTGTGATGTACAGTTGAACCAACTACTTTGCAGCGAGAGCTTTTAAATATTAGATTTGTATAGTAGATTCACTGCAAATCACATGAAGTGATACCAAGTAATATTTTGACACTTCTAGCAGACTTTCAGTAATTATAAACTACACCTGTTTCACTTGAGGAGATTCAATTCATGTATGCTTTTGAGTTTTGAGGAGGTAGTGCCACACTTTGGAGTAGCCAAGTTCTGCGGTGCGTCGGCACGGTCCCTGAGGCGGCGGGGCTGTTCCCCTCTCCTCCCTCCCCATAACTTGGCTCTAGGAGTCGGTGTTTTGGCTTGTTCACTTGAGTGAGTAAGTAGTGCTGCGTTTTCACAGAACTTGGCTTTGGCGTTGTTGCTGGAAGCAGTCGCACACTGCTAGCGCAAGCATTTACACGGCCATCTGGAGAGCTAGGCTGTGGGCTTGATGCGATCTATGTTAAATTTCACCCACCAGGAAGGGCTCGGCGTGGCCCCTTGCAAGTCCCCCCATCCAGACCCCAGTATAAATGCTCGTGGCAGCAGAAGGGCTGGCTGGGGCAGGCGTGGGTCTGCAGGCTTCCGTGGCAGTGCCAGGCTGGAGCCTGTGAACTCGGTGTTAGAACTTGTCTGCTTGGGCCCTTTCTGGGATTTAACCCCACCCGACTGCCGGAGACCGTTTGTAACCTAGGGCACGCAAAAGCCGTGGTGTGCGTTTCCCCAGCGCGGAACGTGCAGGGATAGATGAGGTTCAAGTGGTAGCAGAATGACCCCGTGCGTGAGATTGTAGTGGTAGAATTACCTTAAGGCAAACCCGAAGCGATTTTCTATGTGTTAAACATGTTTTTAAAGTTTACACTGTCACTTGTATGTGCTCGGCTGGATTAAGCTTTGTTGTGATTGTGACAAATAAACTGTTTGACCTCTGTCTGTCACGTTGGTTTAGTTGTAATAAATGTCCATTTTTACACCATTGCTTTGTGTTTATATGTAATTAATTCTGGTTTCTGCGGAGGAAAGAAGAGGCTACTCAGTGCTAGCTTAAAAAAAAAGGGAAATTTTATTACAGTGCTTAACCTGTTCTTGAGCGCTTTATTAAAAAATGTGAGTATACCGTGTCCAAGATTAGTTATTTACATCCATTTAAATTGTACAGAAAGCAATAAATTAGCAAGTTTTGGGAAGGCTTACCACATTAAACATGAGATTTATTAAAGCGTATGTTAAATTGATGCGGTAGTGCCACTTCATTTGAAAATTAAAACAAACCACATGTTGATTGAGAGAGGGTTCTGGATAATACAAACTCCATATTCAGTTCCTTAAATGGAATTACCAGCAAGTTAATGCAACATTCACGATCCTAGTCTCAACCAAAAATTTCTCAGATTAATCTGTTCTTCAGCTTTCTAAAAGAACTGAGCTGGTTGATGTTATCAGCAAAAGTATGGGGAAAACTTACCATCTTAGGGCATTTCTTCAATATGAAATGAAATTTCGTTTCTTAGATTTCCTACCTTACGGGGAAGAGGCGAGGGGGGGAGCTAAAGAATCAATTAGAATTTCTGGATTGTTTAGGCAGGTGATTGTTGGCTCGAGCGTCTTCTTCACTGAATCTTAGTCTTTAACTTGGAGAGGCCTTCCTAAACGTCTGCTGTGCCTTTGGAGTTAATGCCGTGATGGCCGTCGCCCTGTGGCTGCCTTTAAGTTACCCTGTGCCATGGGTTATGCTTGTACGGCTTGCTTTGTAATCAGTCTCGTAGCTCACTGAAGTGTAACTTGTCGATGTTGTATCTTTTTTTTTTAAATCAGAGATAGATACTGAATTCAGCTGATATGTCAGTGCTGAATAGAAGGATATGTGCAATAATAGGGGTTTATTTTAATTACAACGCACTTACAGTGAAAGCAAAATCAGCCCTGCTCTTTAGGTGATGTAAGAAAGTAAATTAAGCTTTTAAATTATTAACTAGCATCGACTTCCATGTTTTCTAAGAAGTGCTGATCCAGGACAGGAAGCAATAGCATCTTTAAGCAGGCTCTTGCATTTCTTTTGAAAAAATGTTATTTAGCGCACAGGAATGTCACTGGTAAACCTCAGGGCCATTTCTGATACGCTGAATGTGGTAATGCAAAACTGAATCTGAGAAAGACGCGCTTTCGTCAAAGGACATAAAGCTGGGAAGTTACTTAGGGTAAGTCCGCCCTATAAGCAAGGGACGGGCCAGAGAGGAAAGGCCTTTTCATGTGTGCTCGTTCCCCCCTCCGTAACAAACGAAAGCCTTGCATTCAGCACGTGGACCCGTGCTACCCCTTCTCGCCTCCCCCCCCACCCCACCCGGTGATGGTGGGTGGCTGCTCCGGACAGGCAGAAAGGGCAATCGCGTGGAAGCAGCCGCCAGCCAGAACTGGAGGGCATGCTGCTGCGAGGGGGGCAAGCCCGCTTCCCAGCTGCCCAAGTGCTGCTGGGCAGTAACGCTTAACTGCCTGTGCTTACAGGAGTTCCCACCACGCTGTCACTATTCCCCCCTTCTGCCACTGGAAAAATGCGACCTTGCTGCCCGGCTCGGCTGCATTCTTCCTCCCGCAGGAGAAGGGTAGGAGCAGCACCTGCTCCCCATCCCGACTGAAATGAGCTGCCCAGCAGGCCCTGGCGGGGGGACCCACTGCTGCCCAAACCAACTTCTTGCAGCTCTGTGTAAATGCCCGCTTTCATAATCGCTCTAAAGCACCTCGCAGAATCCACAACTGAAAAAAAAAGAATTTTGAAAGCCACTGCTTTTAAGCAGTCATTGAAAACGAAACAAAACTTGGCCAGTATTAATTCACTTTATAAAGCCCTTTTCTGCAGAATACGCAGAATAACACGCAGTGAGAACAAGCTATTCCTTGCAAATTTAAATCCTTTCTGTGTTCTTCTGGGGCTTCTCCCCTTTGGAAAAAAAAGAATTGAGCTTAACATTTAAGAACTTCTAGTCTCTTTGTCTCTTCAGAATAAATAGCTCACTCGGCTAATAAGGAAACACAAAACCATGCATATAACGCTACTTAAGATTATGAAGTAGGGAAACAATACTGAAATATATGAACTCTGAAGTTAGAAAACTGGTTGAATTCATGCTAACAAATGCAAACTAAATGTCGGATCTACAGCACTCAATTTCTGTGCAATAAACAGTCTGCATGTGGAAGTGAATGATAATCACAGCTACCAGTCACACTGCACA